GTCCACCCATCAGAAGACACAAATTCACAAAACATCAAATCAGATGTTTTTTTTTTTTCTGTTAAATTTCAACAAGATTTGAAGTTATGTTTGATTTGATCTGGTTGGATGAAACGCTTCTCAGGAAGATGCCTCTGATATTTGGTGCGCGCTTCCTCTCGTGCGCAGCTGACTGAAACAACACTGACCTCCAGTGTGAGAAAGGAAGGACCGAGCAGGCGGGACTCATGCGGGACTTCACGGCTGCCAGGATGCGTGAAGACAACAACCTGACCTCCATCCTGCGGCTCCTGCGCTGCGTGACAGGGGCACGCGGGATCAATAATAATAATAATGATAATAATAATAAAAACACATCGGAACAGAGAGCTCATTAGTTCATTTGGTAATTAGTCGTGCGAAACTGAGTTATAATAATGTTTGCGCGTGCTTCCTTCCTCCCCATTTCTCCTCCAGGATGGAGCAGGTCCAAGCTTGTTGTTTCTAATAAATTAAAAAAGTAAATAAAAAGGAGAGAGAGAACGACACGTGATGGTTAAAGCTCTCCCAGGACGCAGCGGGGAGGCGGAGGTGGAGAGATGCGGGCGCAGTCGGGATGGGAGAGGACGCGCAGAGGAGCGAGCCGCGCGTTCACCATCATGGAAACGTGGCTGCAGAGCCGCGTTTCACGATAAGGACTGAAAGACTTCAACACTGGACTTTTTTTATTCCGAAGGAGAGACTCACGCGCAGGATGTGGAAGACTCCAGGTGGGGGAGAGAGAATAAAAAAAGCCATTTGGTGTTTGCTTCTGTCTCTGCTGATACATGCGCCCAAGTCTGGAGATATTTTCCAGCTTTTCTTCCCGCACGTGCAGATTTGATTCAAGCCATTCCTTGATTTAAAACAAAAATGGATTTAATTAATATCTCCAGGGAAGACTGGAAAGAGGCAGAAAACACCTCCTTTAATTCCACATCTGAGGACCAGTACACCCAGCTGGCTATCTGGGGTCTGGCTGGACTCGTCAGCTTTCTTATTCTGTTTACGATAGTCGGGAACATCTTGGTTGTGATTGCTGTTCTGACAAGCAGAGCTCTGAAACCACCTCAGAACCTCTTTCTGGTCTCCCTGGCCAGTGCGGATATCCTGGTGGCCACGCTGGTCATGCCCTTTTCTCTGGCAAACGAACTTATGCACTACTGGTTTTTTGGCAAAATCTGGTGCGACATCTACCTGGCTCTGGATGTTTTATTCTGCACCTCTTCGATTGTTCACCTGTGTGCCATTAGTCTGGACAGGTACTGGTCTGTGACACAGGCGGTTGAGTACAACTTAAAGAGGACACCGAAACGAGTGAAAGGCATGATTGTGGTGGTCTGGTTGATCTCAGCCATAATCTCATTCCCTCCACTGATATCCCTGGACAGGAGCAGCAGTGAGGAGAATCCCCAGTGCATCCTGAACGATGACACGTGGTACATCCTCTACTCCAGCATCGGGTCGTTCTTTGCTCCTTGTGTTATTATGATCTTGGTGTACATTCGAATCTATCAAGTAGCAAAAACCAGGACCAGGACGCTGTCGGAGAAAAGACGGGACATGGATTCACCCATGGAGAATGGGATGGATCAAACCGAACCAGGCAAAGGCGGGTCCATAAAGTCTACTCAGGGTGGGAACCTGAAGGATAAGCAACGTGAAAATGGCCACAGCCAGGAACAAACGGCTGGTTCCTCTCAACCCACTGAGCCAAAACATCAAGCAGCTGACCACGACGACGACTTTGAGGACAGCAGCTCATCAGACGAGAAACCCAGGAAATGTCTGGGTTCCTCAAAGCATCATCAGGATGACAGGAAAGACAGAAAGTCCAGCCGGAAGAGCAGCTCCGCCTCCAAATACTCGAGCAGGAAGTCACGTTCAAGTTCAAAATCTATGGATTTGTTTTCATCTCGTCGCAAGCGCAGGAGCACCGTCAATCGGAAGAAGGTCTCTGCTGCTCGGGAGAAGCGCTTCACGTTTGTCCTCGCTGTGGTCATGGGCGTGTTTGTGGTGTGCTGGTTCCCGTTCTTCTTCTCTTACAGCCTGTATGGGATCTGCCGCGATCCGTGCAAGATCCCGGAGATGCTGTTCAAGTTCTTCTTCTGGATTGGCTACTGCAACAGCTCACTGAACCCGGTCATCTACACCATCTTCAACCAGGACTTTCGCAGAGCGTTCCAGAAGATCCTGTGCACGCCGTGGAAACGCTCCTTTTGAAGGCGCCCGTTTGGAAACGGTAGTTTAACCTGCAGACATCAAATTAAACGCTCCGAGTGGCTTGATAATTGTTGGCCTCGGGCGCTTTCACACTCCGACTTTCAGGGATCGCATACAAAATGAAGGACTGAGCCACGAGGGAAAAGATGGAATGAACTTATGACCACCAGAGAGGAAGCTGACAGCTCTTTGCCTTTCACGCTGCTTTTGGACTCTGAAGTGGCTTCAGCTCATCTCGTCCACTGAGCGCTCGTCTCTTCAGTGAAGTAAAAGCAGCAGAGTCCTCACGGTTCCTGTGACGCATGCCCGCCACAGTGGCTGCACGTCACGGATGAGGGGTTCACTCTGACAATACTGCGAAGGCCTTGACAATCTTCAATCTACGGTTCTTTTTTCTGTCTTTTACTCGTTGTTTGTATCGCTTTAGTCGCGTCTGTCTCTCTCGACATGAAGACCAATGGGACAATGGGGCTCCTTGCTCACGTAGCAAAACTGCATCACCAAAAAAAAAAGAGACAAAAGTCATGTTAAAGAACAGAATCTCTGTAATCCTGTATTCAGTGTCATGTGTGAGGTTTGAACTGCGGAGGATCGTTGCTGTTCACCCCCAGTCCGTGATGAAGTTGGACTTGATGGCGTGGCCTTTTCACCGGCAGGTCTTTGCACATTCCTGAACCCGGATGATTTAGGAGTTCCTCCAGAGGCAGATGGGCACCTGCTGATGCGTTCACTGTGTGCCGGCATCTGCACGCATGAAACACAGAACCAGAAGATGAACCTGTGTCCTGATGAGGCGAGCTGATGAAGGCTTCACTGCATCTTACCCTGACTGTTAGTGTGTGTGTGTGTGTGTGTGCACGTGTGTGTGTACCGACGAGCAAAAGCCTTTTCAAAAAACCGTATTCCCTCCGATGGAGTGACTGTTTTGTCGGATAGATTCCCTCTCTTCCTTACAGCCACAGTCAAAGCCAAACAACGTCACTGATCGTTTTTACTGACCGCTGCTCGCACGAAGACAAAAACACGTGCACAAATTAATATCGCGTAAACAAAGATGTGGAAATGATTTATACAGCCAACGTTTCCATCTTTCTATAGCCAGAAGGGCTGATGCTTTTTCTTCTTCTTCTCTTGTGTAAATAATTGAAGCGAGGACTCTGTTATTGTGCGGTGCCTCATAATCACACGTGTTAATATGATTGTTTGTATGATCAACAACGCTCTGAAATGTTTTCCTGTTACACCTGACCTCTGTCTTTTTCTAAAAGAAAGAACAACTGTTTACTTCTCTGCTTTGAGCACACGGAAAAGATCAAATAAAGACACGACTGCAGCTGTCTGAAGACTCACCACTGCATTTTTATTACTGTTAAACAGCTGTTTGTTTGTTTGTTTGTTTGTTTGTCCCACTGACACCAGCACCAGTGTGACTCAGACATTCTTACATGTATATCTTTGAGTAAGGTGTAAAAGGAGGGCTCTCCTGAGGCTCGGGAGCAAAGAGGAAATAATGTGCCGACGTTGTTTTGTGCATGTTTTGGATCAGATGGAAAAAAAAAAATCAGGCTCTGGTTCAAGTTGTCGTTTCACTGATTTGCAGCAAATCGTTCTGTACATGTCGCTTGTATTTACTGTTCCAAAGTCATAAATATAAGCTCTAAAAATATTATAATAAAAAACTGAAACATTTGTTGCATTTTCATCGTATTTAATTCCAACTACTTTGTGTGAACGCTGAGAAGTCACTCGACAGTTTGTTTTTATACGTTTTAGTCTGTTCAGCTTCTTTACATGCACACGCTACAGATAATAACGATCATTATAACGCTATGAAGCCCTTTAAAAACAAACACAGTGCAACAAACTGCTGTACACATAAAATCAAGAACATTTAAGTACATAAAAGAAACTAAAACAGTTAAAATATTAAGATCAATAAAAACAGCGCAGAGTAAATTCAGGCTGTGCCAAAAGCCAGGGAATTAAAACGTGTTTAAAAAAAGGACAGTCTGATGGAAAAGAGGGAGACCGTTCCAGAATCTTGGAGCAGCAGCAGAAAAAGCTCTGTCCCCTCCGAGCCTCCGTTTGGACCTCGGCACCTCCAGGAGCAGCTGCTCAGATTCAGGAAGTCCTCTGTCCCTCAGGACACTGTTCAACTCCTCCCCGTACAGTAAACATGGAGCCCTGTAGATCTGTGGCACTCCGGACACTTACGTATGTGCATGTATGCATGTATACATGTACATATGTGCATTTGTATATATGAATATATATATACTGTATATATATAAATAAATGTATATATGTATGTATGCTTAATGCATATATGTAGGTTCATACATATACTGTATAAATCCCCTTCTTTTGTCTGCTCTCTTCTTCAGGGGTCACCACAGCGAAGTATAACTAGAACATGCCTAGATGCCTCAAATGTTCCCTCTGGGATTAATAAACATCCATCCGTCCGTCCGTCCATCCATCTGTCCGTCCGTCCATCCATCCATCTAGATATGACCACTGATGTGTATGTAACTTTTATATTTTCAAATGTTTTTTAAATGAAAAAAAAAAAAAAAGAGGAGAAATTTAAACATCCGGGAGGGACTCAGGGTAGAGCCGCTGCTTCTCCACGTCGCGAGGAGCCAGTTGAGGTGGCTCGGGCATCTGGTTAGGACGCCTCCGGTGAGTTGTTCCAGGCACGTCCCACCGGGAGGAGACCCAGAGGAAGACCCTGGACAATGTTTCTCGGCTGGCCTGGGAACGCCTCAGGATTCCCCTGGAGGAGCTGGACCAAGTGGCTGAGGAGAGGGAAGTCTGGGCCTCCCTACTTCAGCTGCTACGACCCGACCCTGGATAAATGGAAGAAAATGAACGGATGGAAATTCAAACATTTCTGAGCTCATCAAAATCAGTTCCAGTATAATTAATTGCTTATTTTAAATCTTCATTTAGCTACTTTTTGTTAGCTTCTAGCTACGGTTTGATCCGTTTTTTGTTTTTAGCTACTACGTTGCTCCTTTTTGTTTTTGTTACTGTTTGCTAATTTTAGCT